CTGTGTACACCACTATAATAGCCTTTCCGACCCCACTGCCAGCTAAATGCCCTCCTCCCCCATCCTTTTTGATTGCTGTGTCTAACCATTTGACAACGTGATGATTTCTGACAGTTGATTGGCCTATGGCCACTATAATAACCCTCGTCTTGGCTGCTACTTCTCATCTCTAAAGATGGACTCCTGCAAGAGTTTGAAAGCGCAGACCGATAAGTCGATTGATCCGGTGCTCGATTCCTCTTCTTTCTCGTCCGCACAAACATCTGAATCGCGAACCTTCTCATTCAGTTTTAGCTTGTTTGTATTAGTTTGAGTTTTTATTAAATTTAGTATTCATTTTATTTTAATTTTAATTTCTTAGTGGCACGCAGTTGTTTTTTTTTGTCTAAGAAGCTATTACGAGTTTTTAAAAGATAGGCAAAATGACTATATTTCATAGATTCGACTGTTTCCGATTTGTCTGAAGTATACGATGTAGATTCGATATACGGTTGTATCCACTTCGCGGGAACTATTGCGTAATTCGTGTTTCCTATGAGTTGTATTTCCTATTCTCATTATCGCACACCGAACATTAGCTTATTTAAATCAATATTCTTATAATTTTCGACTTCTATTCCTTCAAGTTTTTAATCATTTTTTTAAAGTCTCCTGATATTTTCCACCCAAGCAACCCCTTATTACTACGAGTCTTCTATTACAGAATTGCTGTAGTGAGCCCGGGAATGAAATCAGTCACTCGATAAGCCCGCACGCTGGAATGGCAAACATTTCATTAAAGGCTGAGGATAAGATTGATTGATGCAATCGGCAAATCCCAACCTTTCTTATTTGTACCAAATTTATTCGTCCGCTTCTGCGACAGCAGGTAATGAGACAAGGGGGTAAGCCCTCGGTTTCCTATATGCAATCAGTAACTATTTTACATTATTTTTGTCTGTAGAAGAACAAGTGAGCAGTGCTGCATACCCATATCAACAGATATATATTTGGGATATTTTGGTTCGCAAGCGACGGCCTTCTTCGCAAGCTCCTCTTCCACATTATTTGAACACCGTGCACTGTCTGTCAACGTTAGTGAAATAGTCAAAGCGATTTCTGGGGAATGAGTGCAGTTCATTGAGGGTTTGATGCAGGAAACCACATAGGCGACATTCGGTCCGTGTGTCACGGCCAGCCTTAAAATAAACGAAAAATACATGAAGAGGTTAAGTAATGAATTATTAAATTTTAACAGCTGTTTGCTGCATGAGTTACGTTACTAAAAATGTAGTAGACAGGCGCACCGGTTACAGGTCTCACTCGTCTCGTTGGGGGCCTTTGAGCTCTCTCGCGCTGTCTAAACTCAACAGCCAGCCACATAGCGGGTATAGACAGAATGCCATTACCGACAAATATGAAGGAAGGGGGAGTGTTCAATTCTGTATTATTAGCCTTCATCAGCCAGTCATAGAAAATCCCAAGGGTAAATCCTCGGAGCTAGACCCCGGTCCACTAGGGTTTGCATTAGTGATAGAAAATGGCAAGGACATTACTCAGTGGCGCAGTGGTTGGGGCGTTTTATTTCTTGCCAACAAATTCGCATCTACAATAGGTGGACTAACTAAGGAAGTGTGAAGATCGAAATGTCTATGCGAGGTTCGACAGAAGTTTGTGTTTGTTTATTTAATTCCTTGAAATGCTGTTTACTAGAAATGCGTTCAATTTAGATGGGTGTATTGAAGAAAAACTCAACAGCCAGCCACACAATTCGCTGATAAAGACAATAGCGCTTTGTATATCGTAAAAACCCCAAGCGCCTTTTCATATCTACTTACTACTAAAAGAGATGGGAAAAGAAAATATTCAATAAAAGGTGGCGAATGAACTCACCACAATTTTTCCGTAGGCCCGCCAAGCGAAGTAGGATGCGTAGGCGGTGTCGTTTTGGTCAAGCCAATTCATGTATTCTGCCAGCTGAGCAGGCGATGAAAAATCGTCAACGTGGATGAAGGAATTGGGCGGCGCTATTGCACAGTAATCTTCTCGCGGAGCGCCCATGACCACCGGAAGTATCCCGAACCTGTGAAAATGTGAAAGGTTCAGTTGATTGTAATGTGGGTTTGGACATATGGAGAGGCAATGTAAGTATGTTAAGATTAGCTTTATATTCTTATAAGTCAGTATGTTCTTATGAAATGCCGGTAAGTAAGCATCACAAACATCAGGGGCCAAAGACGCAATGACGCTCGCAATCCTCATTTTGGTTGCATCAGGGAAAATTAGAAGGCTTATATCTTCAGGGGCAAGCTGGAGAAGTTTCGACTCCGCCACCAGATCCATAAGTTAAAAAAGTACGGTCACTATGTCAATAATATCTTCGCCATTGCTCCAGCAAAAACCGATGTAGATGCCCTTCTTAGTACTGTCAGTCAAGCACACCCCTCTCTAATACTCACATTTGAGGTGAAAACGGCAGGTTCGTTTCCTTTCTTGAACGTCCTCCTAAGCACAACACCTGACGGTAGCGATCGAAGGAACGTTTATTGAAGGAAAACCTGGTCCGGACAGTATACGAACATTAAAAACCTCGTATCTTTTCAAAAGAATCGCAATTTAGTCCGCTGCTTAACGCAAAGGGCTGGAATATCTGCTCGGCGGATACATTTGAGACAGAGCTCAAGAGAATCCAGGACCTACTTTGAGAGAACGGGTATCTTGTCAGATTCATCCAAAATAATATGATGGAAAGGGAAACCAAAACCACCACTCCCACCGTGGGAAAGAAGACGATGTTTCTCAAAGTCCCCTTTAAAGGGGATGCAGCAAGTGAACTCCTAAGCAAGCGCCTTAACCAAGCCGTGTCACGAGACTTCCCGGCAGCGAAAGTACGGATGCTATTCTCAAACAACCCTGCGTGTACACTACATGACCCCTGAAATGCCTACTGCTAGGACATCTCCAGAAGCAACCATCATCAGCCATCCTTAGCTATGTACCATCTAAGACTATCAAACTAGGAATATCCTATGCTCATTAGTGTGTTCCCTGTTATTTCAACCATCGCAAGCGACGATGTCCACCATTTGCCCGAAAGCAGGTGACTGTAGTCAGGTAAAGTGAAATTAGATACGCCACGATCTACCCCACTCTAATCCTAACCGCTTTGACCAGTGACAAGAACGAGCGGAAGCCGCTTTCTCCAATGCAGCCCGAAACACTGCCTAACTTAGCCTTTAGTGACAGTAGACTTTGCGCGGGTACCACCTGCTCACCTATAGTAGGTGTCTAGCCAGGCTTTAGTAAGCCAGGACTGGTACTGCTACCACCAATACTGCTGCTTCTAATACTACGTACTAGGGTGCAGCTTAGTGATAGTATTTACTGGTACTATGACTGACTTTTTTGTAAGTCGGAAAGACGTGTAGTAGTACTGGTGCTAACACTGACACCACCATTTGTCAGAGGAGAGGTTGATAAAGCCAACGCTAGGGCTCATATCCCTTTGGTCTCAACAAGGGGTGTGACTCTGAGTTTAACTATTTCGGGTAAGTTCATGCTTGGGGTCCTGAGCACAGCAGCGTTTGCCTTGGTTTCCGCACTCTCAACTCCATCAGTCCAGCTGTGTACTAATCGGTATAGACTTAGATACTGCTGCTTTAGATACGTGTCTATGCTAAAAGTGTTTACTAAGGCCAGTTGCTAGTATACCATAAGTACTGCTCAGTAGTGTAGTGTTGACCTAATAGGCATCAGCAAATCACATATACCGGTGTTTTCACTGCTCATGCTTTATTATGTGGGAACCAGTTGTTTTATTACGTAACCTTTTATCTGCTTAATATATGTGCTCCGTTATTACTCGGAGGATATATTATATTCTGCAGTGAAGATGACCTTTGTGCACATACTCTACGAACGGTATCTAGGACTGTGACGAAAGGAAACACCATTTGTCTAAAATATAGTACTGTCTAAATGTTTACTTTACTGTTTGAGGTGGATAATACTACTTATAATTAGCCACACGGCTAACTGCAGGATAATAGTTTATAGTCATGCATGTCTGCAGCGAAGGTTTTCGAGTATCTGTATTGGTGTTAAGCGACCTCCTGCCATTTATGGTCGCATGGATGCAGCCTTTGTACGCTGACTCCTATCTGGCTTGGCGATGATTGTCTTCTCCGGAAACACAGATATCAACACAGAAGCAAATAATCAGGTATTAGAAAACTTCCGGAATTGTCAATTACTCCACTTGGGTTTTTTCCTGCAAGATACTTAAGACTCAATAACTATTCCCACAAGTCAACCAAAGCTCTGGCTAGGGTATTTAGCTGTCATTTTTGTCATTATCAGGAAGAATCACTTAGACCTCCTCCACAAGAAGCTCAACTCTACATTTTCAGGAATCGAATTGACAAACGAAAAGGAGGTTGATTGGCAACTTCCACTTCTGGATTTCCTGACCCATCGAAACACTGACGGATCACTCTGACCATCAGTTTCTCGTAAATAAACATATTCAGACGTCATCGAACATTTTGAGAGCAACTTCTAAATCTCTCACAAAAGGAGGTCTGTTTACAGCCTCCTAAATCGAGCCAAAACCCACTGCTCTGATGAAGAAAGTTACCAAGCAGAAATAAAATACCTTTTATCAATGGATATCCATGAAACTTCGTACGTCAGTGCATGAAACGACAGGAATCCAAACAAAAGGCACTTCAAATGAAAGTGCCATCCAGGCTTTCAAAACAATGACCTGGAAAACTCTCCCATACGTGAAAAATGTGTCTGACCTTGGCAGAAGTCAACTAATAAAATATCAGATACCAGTGGCACACCAGCCGGCAACCACCTTACGCTCACAGCTTGTACACCCTGAGAA